GGGAGAGAGGGTAATCTATGTTCAATTTGGAAGACCAATTATAGAATCTGTGCTGTGTGAGTCAATAACCTCTAAAGCATAATCCCCTTTCAATTATTAAATGGATACATTATATATGATATGTTTTAAAACCTATATTCGCTGTAAAGGTCCCTGGTACAGAGCGAGGACAATCTCCCAGCCTGAAAAAACACGATTCTCAATTTTGAAAGTTCTTGAAAAGTTACATTTTTCAAAAAAAAAAAATGTATTGTCAATATCATCTTTTACACATTAGCTTCCTTTATTTTACTGAATAATTTATTGATAAATAATTTATTTTTCGCCACGAAGTCTTCTTGTCATTGATGTGTTTCAGTGTGATTAAAATAAAAGAGGTTGTTGAAGCGTATTTTTTTCTATAATGTTCGATTTTCAAATGGAATGGGCTCAGACTCCATTTTTTAAAACTTTAAGTTAATTTTACATTTACTTTTCGGTCATTTAAAGGTTAATGTAGAAAGGGAACTTGTCCCATTCATTTTCAAAAATCATTTTGTGTGGCTCCAAAAAACCAGTTTTCCACTAAATATGCTTTACTTACAACTTTAAAACAAATCATCAACCAATGCCATTTAATAAAATAAATGAGTCAAATATGTTGAAAATGCCATTCCTGAAAACTTTATTTTAGAAAAATATAACTTTTCCATGAACTTTAAAGATTGAGAAATTTATTATCTCAGAGCGGGTGATTGTCCCCGCCTTATACGCCCCGTTTCTTTTAAGATGTCTTTTAGGTTTCACAATAATGTGCATTATAAAACCACTATCGTTATTTTGATCTAACTTTACCATGATATTTTAGTAGGGATATTTCCTACAGCTGATTGATTGATTGTGTGTATTTTTGTCCCAATCGAGAATTTCCTACAGTTGAAGTCAAGCTTTTATCATTTAAAATTTACAGCATACCACCGACAAACATTTATCTGCTTTTATATACATTGTACATCAGTTTGCATTGGTCTATAATTCTTACCCAATTTGATCTTCCCCTTAACTTGTTCTCCCAAGCAGAATAACATGTTATATAGTTTTATCATATCTCTACTGATTTTTTCCCTATAGAACATTAGATCGTTAGATGTGACTAATTCCCTAGAAATCGTAATGAATGGATTAGTCCCCGTGCGTTAGTCAAGTGAGCTAATCCCTGCTTCGAAAGCTAATTCCCGGTTATCCGTAATCCTCTAGATTTTACTTTTACATTGGTATGATATGTGAATGGACTAATCCCCGTGTGTTAGTTAGTTAGTGAGCTAATCCCTGCTATGAAATCATGCTATCTGATTCCTCTAACTCTAAATTTTAAGTTTTTATCAGTATAATAAAACAGTTAAAAGTATATCATTGCGGGAGTTAGCAAGATTTCAGTTCCTCTCGACCAGGACTATTTCCCTCGGCTTCGCCTCGGGAAATAGTCTTGGCCTTGGGGAACTGGAATCTTGCTAACTCCCTCAGTGGTATATTTTAACTGTATAAGTATCCACCATTCTGGTCATAAAAAGCATTTCTAGATATTTAATACTGCAAAAGTTATGTAGTTTTATTCTGCAATCTAACGAAAAAATAAACATATACAAAGAAAATTAAATTTCTGTTTATTTCAAAAATAAAAATCATCACAAATTGTGCTCATTCAAAATTCAGTCAAAATATGATCTATTCATGTAGCTTACATTACATTAGAAATTCAAACACATGCAAGTTTATCAATAGAGGTTGATATAATATCATATTTAGCAATGTTTTAATAATTATATACACATCATAAAAAAGTGTCTTTTTATATTATGCTCACACATAGCAAGAGGCTACTCTAACTTACACAGTAAGTCAACACTCTTCTAAACTAACTCAACATGAAAACACATAATGAGCTACACTACTTACACACATATTGAGTCACTACATGACTATTACACATAAAAATAACAATATTAGCACACAAAATGAGCTACATGTACACTACCGCAGGTAAAATTCTACATTCCCAACACAAAATGAATCCCATGCTACATGTACAACAAACAAATCAAAATAACAATACAAAATAAGTATTACAAATACATGTAACAATATTAAAACTTACAATGAGCTATACCAGTAACACACATAAAATTATACATTCCCAACAAATGAGTCACCATACTACATGTACAACTCACATAACAAATAACAAAAGTACCACTCATAATAAGCTACACTACTAACACACATGTCGAGTCACTACAGAACTAACACACATGTCAAGTAACTACACTACTTACACACATGTCAAGACACTACACTACTTACACACATGTTGAGTCACTACACTACTGATATATACCTTACAAATAACAATTTTAAATCACACGATGAGCAATACAAGTAACACACATAAAATTATACATTCCCAACACACGAGTCACCATACTACATGTACGACTCACATAACAAATAACAAAATTACCACACATAATAAGCTACACTACTAACACACATGTTGATTCACTACACTACTAACACACATGTCGAGTCACTACACTACTTACACACATGTCGAGTCACTACACTTCTAATATATAACTTACAAATAACAGTTTTAAATTGCACGATGAGTTATACAAGTAACACATTTAAAATTATACAATCCCGACACACCAGTCACCATACTACATGTACAACTCACATAACAAATAACAAAATTACCACACATCATATAAGCTACACTCATAAAACACATGCCGAGTCACTACACTACTTACACACATGTTGAGTCACTACACTACTTACACACATATCGAGTCACTACACTTCTAATATATACCTTACAAATAACAGTTTTAAATCGCGCAATGAGTTATACAAGTAACACATTTAATATTATACAATCCCGACACACCAGTCACCATACTACATGTACAACTCACATAACAAATAACAAAATTACCACACATCATAAGCTACACTCATAACACACATGTCGAGTCACTACACTACTTACACACATGTCGAGTCACTACACTACTTACACACATGTCGAGAAATTCGCTGGATTAGACGACATTCCGGATTAGACAACATTTAAAACAATTGAGTCTACTGCAGGTGACTTAAAGTTAACATTGTATAAGTCAAGTTTTTGGAGTACACAACATCCGAATAAGACAAGTTTCACTGTATATTACAAATAACAATATAAGAACACATGAGGAGCTTTACCAATAACACACATAAAATCACATATTCCCAACACGTAATGAGTCAACATACTACATGTACAACACACATAACAAATAACAAAATCATACCACACATAAAAAGCTACACTACAAACACACATGTCGAGTCACTACACTATTAACACACATGTCGAGTCACTACACTTCTAATATATACATTACAAATAACAACATTAAATCACATGATGAGCTATACCAGTAACACACATAAAACAAGAAGTCTGTGAGCCAATGCTCACTGGTAATACCTCCGCTGTGATTTGAATATACACTATCATGTGAATATTCACAAGTTCAACTATGGACAGATGCATGAATAAACAGGAAGTTGACATCAGATTCATACAAAAATGAATCCCACCATATGACAATTATGCGTCAACAAAGAGTGTGCTAAAATTTCAAGCATCTGCAATGAGTTGTTGCTGAGAAAACTTTGACAAAAATTTGTTCCATATTATACAGACAGATGCACAGTTAAACAGGAAGTTGACATCAAATTCAGAAATGAATCCCATCATATGGCATGCCTAAACAAAGAGTGTGTAAACTTTCATGCATCTGCAATAAGTAGTTGATGAGAAACTGCAACAAATATTTGTTATATATGGTATAGACAGACACACAGATAAACAGGAAGTTGACATCAGACTTGTACAAAAATAAATCCCACGATATGGCATGCCAAAATAAAGAATGTGCTAAAATTTCATGCATCTGCTCTGAGTAATTGCTGAAAAAACTGCGAAAAAAATTCGTTATGTATGGTACGGACAGACGCACAGATAAAAAGGAAGTTGGCATCAAATTCATACAAAAATGAATCCCACCATATGACATGCCTCAGCAATGAGTGTGCTAAAATTTCAAGCAATAAGTAGTGCTTAGAAAACTGCGACGAAAATGTGTTATGTGTGGTATGGACAGACACATGGATAAACAGGAAGTTGACATCAGATTTGTATGAAAATGATTCCCACCAAGCCTAAACAAAGAGTATGCTAAAATTTCAAGCATCTGCAATGAGTAGTTGCTGAGAAAACTGTGACCAAAAATTTGTTATGGACAGTCAGACAGACAGTCACACACAGCTAGACAGACAAGGGTAAAACAGTATCTTTTGGAGCAAGAATATAATAATACATTCCCAACACATGAGTCACCATACTACATGTACAACACACATAACAAATAACAAAATTACCACACATAATAAGCTACACTACTAACACACATGTCGAGTCACTACACTACTAACACACATGTCGAGTCACTACACTACTAACACACATGTCGAGTCACTACACTAATAAAATATACATTACAAAAAAAATTATTAAAACACACAATGAGCTATACCAGTAACACACATCAAATTAAAATATACTTTCCCAACACATGAGTTGCCGTACTACATATACAACAACCATAACAAATAACAAAAATACCACATATAATAAGCTACACTTCAAACACACATGTCGAGTCACTACACTACTAACACACATGTCATGTCACTACACACTAACATACTTGTGGAGTCACTACAATACTAATATATACACTACAAATAACTATATTAAAACACACACAATGAGTTATACAAGTAACACACATAAAATTATACATTCCCAACACATGAGTCACCATACTACATGTACAACTCACATAACAAATAACAAAATTACCACACATAATAAGCTACACTATTAACACACATGTCGAGTCACTACACTACTAACACACATGTCGAGTCACTTTACTACTAATATATACATTACAAATAACCATTTTAAATCACTCGATGAGGCATATCAGTAACATACATAAAATTATACATTCCTAACACATGAGTCACCATACTACATACGTACACAAAATAACCACACATCATAAGCTACACTCATAACACACATGTCGAGTCACTACACTACTTACACACATTTCGAGTCACTACACTACTAATATATATTACAAAAAACAATATTTACACACATTATGAGTTATACCAGTAACACACATAAAATTATACATTAATTCCCAACACATGAGTCACCATACTATATGTACTATCATACATGTAAAACAAATAACAAAATTACCACACATAATGAGCTATACTACTAACACACATTTCAAGTCACTACACTACCATTCATATAATGTTATATATAAATGAGGTCATATAAGGAGTCAATACATTTACAATAGAGTCAACATGCTCCTAAAACACACTTATATTAGGTCGTTATAGCACTTGTCACATGTGTTAGCACATGAATCACTATTATGACAAAAGAATTCTTTAGATGTACATGTAGTTGTTATTTAATCTTTGTCTAGCTGTTATGATATTTTAACAGCAAATTTTATACTCTTTCCTGCAAATTCAAAGATTGTTCTGCTTTCTGGAGGGGCATTCAAACACTTCAATTGACCATGTTTAAGTCATACTGACTTATTCCACTCCACATTGGCACTCTATGGCTGTTTTTCTTTTGTCCACACATCTTACAAATGGAACTGAAATACATAATTATATAATAGAACCATTAAAGCTTTTACATAAAAATGAAATAAAAATATATCAGTGATCAAGTTTCCAATCTTAATTAAGACACAACACTTCTTTAAAAGCAAAAGGACAAGAATAAATTTTAAAATTAAAATTCCTAAAACAGCTAGTTAACATTTTGTGTATTTGATTTGTATTAAATGATTATCCTTTAGAACTTGTTAGCCTTTTGAATTACTGTAAATGTATAATATTTAGCGTGTACGATATTTGGCAGAAGTTGATTATTGAGCAAGTTAGCGGAGATTTGATTTAGAGCATTTGTTAATGTTCTTCTTTATGTGTATTTGTGCAAGACATTTAGCGTTGTACTTGAATCAGTGGACATTGCTTTCTGACAAAGGCACTAAAAAGAATACACAGCGAAAAGTATATTCACAACTTAACAAACACTTTCTGAAATTTTGGGTTATCCTTTTCTTTTGTCCTTGCCTTTGGTTTCCTATCAGTTTAAAGTGCCAAACTTTAATCTCATCTTGTTCTATAATTTACATATCAAAAGGCTGGAATCTTTATAGTTAGGACTATATAAGTACTCACAACAGAATACATGCATCTAGACAAATAAGGATTTTTTCAAAATGAAAACATGTATCCAAGCAAGTCACTTATAAGAATATTATAAATGAAAACATTCAACAAGCTACACAATTTAGATTCATTTAGCTTTTCCTGTATATTTATCTGTCTCTCATTAGTAACATATATTAATAAATGGAGTAAAATGAAAGACCTAATTTTAATTACACTAAAAGTCTACCAAGTAACAGTAATATGTAATAATTAGTTTTACATGTTTCATAATGTGCATAAGGAGATGGGTGAACAAGGCATGCAAAAAGCCTATAGCTTCAAATGTATAAAAGTCATATTCAAATACTGAGTTTAGTATTTAGAGTAAAGTTCTTCTTATTGAAAGGTATAACATTATATTACAAACAAAACTTTTCTGTGGAAAATTCTTTAAGCAAAAATCATTCTATGATAAAAAAAAAAAAAAAGTGGTATTCTAGGGGTTGAAAACCAAGCAATGAAATTAAATCCTGAATATCAGTTTTTTTTCTAAGAGACTAACATGCTAACCACTAAACTACATACATGTAGCTCATGACAAAAATGGGCATTTACATATGTAAATCACGTTTAAAAATGTGGCTCTTGACTAAATGGATTTCAAATATATTTCTGAAAGATATGCAGGGTTTGACACTAAGGCACGTCCGACTGACCCAGTCTAGTAAATGCATGGTCCGTCATGTTAAATGTTCAATAACTTGCCCGACTGGTTGTGTGGATGAAATAAATGTTAACTCTCATTTCAGTCTTTCAAATAAATGCTCTGACTAAAAACTTTTTAAAGAAATTTTCTTAATTTTCAGATTGCAAACACAGCCATTGCTCTGAAAAAGAAAACTTTCCTGCATGACACAATTGCTTTTTTTCTTAGACCGGCTGTAATAGACAAGTCACAATCGAAACCTCAGCTTTGTTCAGTATCATTTGGTATAAATATTCATTGAATATTACAGTTTTTAATTTATTTACATGTATATTTACGGTAATAATTTTATTTAAGTTCCTTGAATTAATGTTCTTTAAAGCTTATAACATTCGCATGTTCACTCATTGGGCTGCTACCTATGGGCTCAACAGTCTGTCAAAATGTATACATGAACACATGCGAGAGATACACTGTAGTATGGTTTCAAAACTTTTTTCCCATTATAATAGGAGGTTATAAATAGAAAATTTTCAAGTTTGGTCAGGGCTAGTGAATTTATGGTCAGAGCTAGTAAAAATTATGGGAAGTAGCACGACTGATCTAGTACTCATAAAAGTTAATGTCAAACCATGATATGAATGTTGTTGTGACTAGTGGTGTTCCAATCATCGATTATAATCGAAAATCAGTCAATTGCTGGCATAATCCAAGCACTCGATTACAATTTTTTTATTCTGATTAATCGGGTTATTTATTTTATTTTAAAAGCGTAATAGTTTTTAAGCCAAATATTCCAGCCGCAACTTTTCTATTAACTTATATGCATATCGTAATGGCACAGACAAAGAGACATTGTATTCATACCCAGGTAACAACGCTCATTCCTGGGTATGGACGTACTTTGGATTCTACAAAATGAGCGTAGAACCAGCTTGACTAGATAGAACATTCTGTCGTTAAAATGATATTGTCCTAAGGACTAGGGGTTGTTCCGAGACACAGTTATTCCAACTACAGCTGGACCACCACAGAAAGTAGTTATTCAACCATTCTTACCATTTAATAAACTAAAATTGACAGACTTTGTAAATGTCCGATTATAATTGATAATTAGTTAGTTACAGTAGCCTGATCATCGATTATGAAATTCTTACCAATTCCCATCACTAGTTGTGACATAAAAGTCTATTTTTAGAAGAGTTGGTCATTTCACCATGTTTTTGTCAAACGAAATAGGAAAAGTTTTAAATATGCTTCGAGTATAATCTTACCAAAATATGGAGTGAAGACCTACTCATATTTAAAAAGTATGATATAGGAGGAAAAAATGACCATTTTCGCCCTCTTTTGGTGTGTATCTGCTATTTCATAGATCAATAATATTAATCGTTATAAGATTGTAGCAAATTGCAAAGATTTTACATAAGGTATACAATAATGTTACATGAAGTATCAAAGAAAATTTTGACATGATTAAGATTTAACTTTTTACATCTTTTTTTGTCACACAATAGGCATTTACTTGCCTTGTTTGCCCATCATCTTTATCAGTAGATAAGGTTTATGATTCAGACGGCATCTGATAATGCAGCCATAAAATGTAAAATGATAGAAATAACTGCACTATGCTCACTTTTTTCCTCCCAGAGCTCTTCTTTTCATCTTCAATTTCTTCCTCTTCATTTCCTCAACTTTTTCTTCTATTGCAAGTTCTGTAAAAAAAAAAATCCAATTCGATAAACTACTAAACTGACAAAAACTCAATTTGTCAAGTTTCGGATTTTACCAGATTCATGAAAAATCTTGGCATACTGAACCTTTTTAGTGATTTATCTGAGAAAAGAGTGGTTAGTAACTTATTCATTTTCATGTACCTGCTTGACTTCGACAGAAACGTTTTGGTACTAGAATGTGAAATACATACTTTTGTTATTACCTAAAATATTTCCATGACCTCAAATTCACCTATATTTCTTGCTGCTATTAAAGCCTGGTCAAGAAATAACGTTTCCCCTATAACAGGCATCAATTAACAAGGTTATGATTCAAAGTTTCAAAGTGTGCAGCTTGATTCACACAAAAGAAAAAAAAAACATGACTGAACAGATTTACAAGTACTTGCAAAGACTAGAAATGTGTCTTGATCGACATTTTCAGCCTAAGGTAAAGTCAGGGCATAGTCATGTAACATGTAACATTTTTCATGATGAATTACCTATATACAGTCCAATCTCATTATCTTAAACTAGATGACACAAAGTAAAAAAAAATAAAGATGTTCCTGGGTTCCAGTAAAGAGTACTCAAATACCACTTAATCATACAGTGAAACCTGTGTAATCCGACATGCACTGGGAGACAAATTTTTTGTCGGAATAGATAGGGTGTCGTATTGATCAGTGTAAAAAAACATAGAAAAAAGTAAAATGGGAATGAAATTTAACCTTGGAATTTACAGTGTGACGGATTGCACAGGTGTCAGATTAGACAGTTTTCACTGTACAATCATATAATTATGGAGATAACGAAGCTCAAGAGTCCATAGAAAAAATACAAATCAGGAGCAAACACGGACCACTAAAAACATCAGAGGTGGGATCAGGTGCAATATAGGAGTAAACATCCTCTGCCAATCATTCACATTTGATGTGTGCTCCTTGTCATGATCGGGAAAACGGAAAAGTCTGTAGACAATTCAATGTGTAAACAGACAATTCAATGTGTAAATAATGGCCAAACAATTAGTATTAAAAACATCAGTCCGCATTCGACTTACATGTAATGAAAGATTGTTTTTGCTGACAAGGTCATTGTATCGACCATAGCTAATTACACACATGCAAGTCACTACATCCAGTCAAAGTTGATGTTTTGATATTTTTTCTCAAAATATTTATGAAAGAATAAGATAAGTACATGGTAATTTTGTTGACTTGAAGAAATACATTGATGGGGAAGGGGGGGGGGGGTATTGTGATAATAATTACCTAGTCCTTTTTCATTCTGCCTTTTTCTTTATTTCTTTCCCTTTCTCTTCCGTTCCACCCTCTGGCTCATTATCTTCCATCACTTCATCCCTCTCAGAAATGGTTTCCAGTACAGATAAAGTGGTTGATGAATGACTTACTCAAAATTATGGACCCATGATATAGATGTTGTAATAATGTTACATGACACACACTGCAAGTCACTGTGCCCTGTAAAAATTGTTACCTTCTTCATTTATATTTAAGGATCAAGAACTAAATAAGAATTCATTCTTAAGTTTTACAAAAAAACTATATAAATCAGGATTTGAGAGGGCTTTGTAAAAATAATGTGAGATACATAATGTAATAACCTTGCTTTTTCTTCACCTTGTCCTCCTTGTTCTTCAGCTTTTTCTCCACTTCCTCATCTTCCTTCATTAAATCTTCCCTAGTAGCTGCTTCTAGTAGAAATAAATACCAATAAAATAAATTAAAAAAATCTTGACTCAAGAAACAGTAATGGTTACACATATTATAAAAAAAGAACATTCTTAGAATATTTGTGAAGAACTAAATAAGTATTTTAGCTAATTAAAGTAAAAGACATTCCTATCAAATAGAAAACAAGAAGTCTGTGATCGAGCCAATGCTCACTAGTAATTATAATTCCCACACTGATTTGAATTTGGTACGGACAAGCACAGGGGTAAACAGGAAGTTGACGTCAAATTCATACAAAAATGAATCCCACCATATGGCATGCCTAAACAATTTAAAAGTGTGCTAAACTTTCAAGCATCATCCTTAACAGTTGTTGAGAAAACTGTGATGGAAATTTAGTACGGACAGATGGACGGATGAACAGGAAGTTAACATGGGATTCCTACAAAAATACATCCTACCATATGGCATGCCTAAACAGAGAGCGTGCTAAAATATTAAGCACCTTCGATGAGTAGTTGCTGAGAAAAGTGCAACAGAAATTTGGGAAGAACATGGATATAATAAATATGACTAATTTAAATCATGTTTCTGTCATTCCATGTAAACTTTGATCCTCTTCTGTGGCCCTACCCTACCCCTAGGGTCCATGAATTGAACAAACTTGAATCTACACTACTGGTATTTCAGGAAGCTTTCAAATACATGCAAGTTTCTCAATTAATGCAAAATTGGTTATTTTCACTGGTTTAAATTTTCATGATTTGAGGGGATTTAATTTGTGGTTGAAAAAAAAAAAAAAACATATGACACCATATCATAAAATTTCGATATTTGGTTTCACTACAATGTATACTAGTAGCTTAACACTGGAGGGTTTTTTTTTTTATTTTGCCTACCATGAAATGAGACCTTGATTTTTAAGGTTTCATTTAAAACACATGCATCTTTCACTAAGTATAGAGTCACAGCTTAGTAACCGAACAATCTCATTACCTATTTCAAACATCTTGGATTGACGAGGTGCTAGGAACAAGAATTGAACAGGGACCTATTAATTATAATGCGAGTACCGACAACAACTACCGTCTAGGCTACTGTGATTTGTCAGTTTCAGGAATTAAGATAAGGGATATCAATAATGAACACTTAAGTAATTATTGCAAAATATAAAGTCTAAACATTTCGGAAAGACTATGAATTTTAAATTAATTCTACTGATTTAGTTAAAATTTTTTGTTAGAGACTGATAAAGGAGACTTAAATTTTCAATTCAACTTTCCAGCATCATGTTTTATACAGTGTAAGCATGGCCTGACTAAATATATGCCTGAGATATTTTAATGTCAGGGTTCAACACTAATGTTAGTCCGTTAGTCTGATCAGACTAATACATTTTCATTTGGACTAATAAAATCTGTCGCTAGTAAGTCCCAACAGACCAATAAAAATTTCTGGAAAACAAAATGAATAAATTACGATTTTCAACAACATTTACTAGAAAACCCTGCATGTATTTTTAGCTTTCTAGCATCTTAGCAGGTAGTAAGGTAATTCTGAGTCAAGTTGGCACTTAATTTTACGACTGACTGATGTGAAATTAAACATTTTAGTGATTATGATTTAGTCCTGTACAAACAATTAAGGTGGATTCCGCCCAGAATTTCGTTGGACACCAAGGGTATTCCACTGAATCCACAAATTCCAGGCTCTCAGAGATTCCGCCTAAATTTAACAGATTCCAGTCATCAAATTTTAGGCTGAATTTAGTTCAGTGGGAAAATAGCTGGAAATTATAAAAAGAAATATTTTGGACAGTTTAAATGGAATCTATATTCAGGCGGAATCCTGTTATTTCAATTCTAGGTGGAATTTCAATTCCATGCAGGCAGAATGTCAATTTCCAGGCGGAACTAATTACATTTTCGCCTCAAATTTCCAGCTAGTCTCCGCTTGGTTAACGCTTGGTTTCTGCTTATATTGCTTTAACATTTATAGTAAGTTTTACGCCTGGAATTTTACTGAGAATTCTGTCTTGATTATGCCTTTTTCCAGGTGGAACATTTTGTACAGGGTATGATACATAAAGATGTCAAATGTTTTGAGTATAATGAACGAGATCAGGAATATGTTCATACTTCCTGCATGATCACGAGATTTTAAACAAGAGGCCCAGGGGCCACATCGCTCACCTGAGCACTATGGCTAGGAAAAAGCAGAATTCAGTTCAGTCTTGAAAGGTTGAAAAGTTTAAATAAAAAAGTGGTTCGGGGGGGGGGGGGTCATGAATTGAACAAATTTGAATCTACATTATCTGAGGATGCTTCCATTTAAATATGACCAAACATGACTTTGCTGTTCTTGAGTAGAAGATTTTTAAAGATTTAACCTATGTATTCCTATGTAAAACTTTGATCGCCCATTGTGGCCCCACCCGACCCCCGTGGGTCATGATTTGAACAAACTTGAATCTACACTACCTGAGGATGCTTCCATGTAAATATGACCAATCATGGCTTTGCTGTTCTTGAGAAGAAGATTTTTAAAGATTTTTCCTATATTCCAATGTAAAACTTTGATCGCCAATTGTGGCCTCACCCGACCCCCAGGGGTCATGATTTGAACAAACTTGAATCTACACTACCTGAGGATGCTTCCATGTAAATATGACCAATCATGGCTTTGCTGTTCTTGAGAAGAAGATTTTTTAAAGATTTTTCCTATATATTCCTATGAAAAACTTTGATCGCCCATTGTGGCCCCACCCGACCCCCGGGGGTCATGATTTGAACAAACTTGAATCTACACTACCTGAGGATGCTCCCACATAAGTTTCATATTTTCAAGCACAGTGGTTCTTGAGAAGAAGATTTTTTAATGATGCCATTAATTTTTCACAAATTCTTAATTATCTCCCCTTGGAAGAAGACGTGGCCCTTCATTTGAACAAACTTGAATCCCCTTTACCCAAGGATACTTTGTGCCAAGTTTGGTTGAAATTGGCCCAGTGGTTCTTGAGAAGAAGATGAAAATGTGAAAAGTTTACAACAACAACGACAATGACAACAACAACGACAGACAACGGACAAATTCTGATCAGAAAAGCTCACTTGAGCCTTTGGCTCAGGTGAGCTAAAAATCTTTGGAATAAAACACTTCATGTACTTTCAAAAAACTATAAAAAGTACATTGTAATCAGTCTTCGACAAATCCCGGGAGTCCGAAGCCCGGGACCTGGTAAAATTGGAAGGGGGCATGTGGAAATTGCATACTTACAAGCCCAAAGGGCATGTGAATTCTGAGGCCTAAGCCTCCGTATTATCAAATTAAGTAATACCAATAACATTAAATGTACTTAAAAGTCTGATTTTTCATCTGAAGTGGAGCACCAAATAAAATTTTAACGATAGTTTATTCTACCACGATTTCCAGGGAACTCTTTTGCAAAAGAAACACAAAAAGTGTACAGGTTGAAAACAATATTAATGGCTAGACAATAGATCAATAGAAATGGATTTCGGATCATTTCCTTGCCATGAAAAGGCAAATAAGAATAAAATTACTTGATAAAATTCTGGGCATGTGAATATTTGTTCGGGCTAGCGTAATAAGTGGTTAAACCTGCCCGAAGGGCATGCACTGAAAAAAAGATTTGGCAAAGACTGCATTGTAATGTTTATTTTTAGATAAATCGTTACAAAACACTGATCTTTCCTTTTTTGATGGACTCATGTGAAGTAGTAAAAGAAGGACATGTTTGTTGAAACACCCTGTATTAAAGGGATTTCAACGCTTATGTACATGATGTATTTGTTTAATCATTCATCCCACCCCAAAACAAAAAAAAGAAGCTTTTTAAAACAATTCTACTTACGCATTAGAAGTACTGCCATCTTTTTTCTCCTGGTGAAGGTTCAAAATATAATTAAATGGGTTTGTGTTCACTGGCCAATAGTTTTAAACACCATCTGCAGGAACCTTGAAGTTTTCCTGTATCACCATGAACCTAAATAAATCGATGTTATACTTCAGTATCACAAAACATCCATCCTAAAACATTCACAGACAGACATTAAACACATACAAACGTTCCACGTTCCATTTATGTTCATTATTTGAAAATAATCATAAATTGTGAATTTGCTTCATCTTGCACTGATTTAAGTCCCAACATTGTTTAGTTAAATAAATAATACAGTTAAAAAGCATGTTTTACTGACCATGCTGACAAATAATACATTAGACAAAATTAATACATGTATCGATCATGCTATCAATAAAATATGAAAAATGTTAGTGTGCATGTTCACACACACTTGAATAAGTTGACTGACTGCTTCCAAAGAATGTACATGTCCTCATTCATGTAATCCTGTTCCATGATAATAGTTTTCATTTATACCCCTTCATAAAATGACACATGCATGTCACTTACATACTGCAAGACCCTGCCGGCCTGTACATTGAGTACACTACTTTCACTTTGAACTTGACTGAATACCGATTCCGACCTCGTTTGTGAATTTTTGTGTACATATTGAATCCTTATGTAAAAATATATTCAACTTAGCTTTGAATTAATAAACAATATAAATTGACACATTAATTGAATTTATTCGCTACATACATGTAACTGTAAACAACAGGAGGTATGAGAATTAGCTGTATGTTCATAAGGGGGGGGGGGGGGGTTACTCCCATATGAAACTGTCTGGGTGGTTTAAACACAGGCACAAATTTAGCTTCCATAAACCTGTAACAGACTAGCATTTCTCCTCCTATATATGTAAAATATGTATAGAAAGCCATGCGAAAAAGTGGTCAAGGCAAGAACAGGCATGGGATAATGACTGAAATATAACATAACACAGTTTTACAAATAAACCCTTCACAGAAAGTTGTGCTAGGTTCCCTACATGAACTCATGGATTCTGAAAAACCTGTACCAGAAACCTGTGCCATTTTCCATATCTGGAGACCCTGATTTGGGAAACCGACCATGTCAAAAAATAACCAAATATGGAGTCATGAGATCTGCATGTGCCTTAATTAATTCATCTAGATCTGGGTTAGGATCTTGGAGAATCCCCTGATGTTGCTGTAGATGCCAAATAGAGACTGAATACAAACTTTACAATGCTTTACATTATTAATTTGATTAGTTTTAGAATTTTTAAAGTTTGAAATTAATACATGTATGAGAGTGCCACATTCATTTTTATAGAACTTATCTACACTATCATTTTAACAATTTATAGTAGTTTCTTATTAAGAATCAAATGATTCAATGCACAATTCTATAGTAATTTAACTTAATTAGGCCAAATGAAAAAAATTATGTGTTTCTGGTGACATATGCTAAAAAAAATTAGGCTAGGTAAGTAGGGAATAACTTTTTTTTTTACTTTACTGTTAATTTTGTTTACTTGATTGTTTGTTGTTTAATTCCCTTTCGAGAAATTTTCACTCATATGGAGATGCCACTACTTGTCGGTGGAGGGCTGCAAATTAATAGACCTATACTCCGCTCTCAGTGAGGGATCTTTTTCATGCCAGCACCTACTGCGACATAGGACCTCTGTTTATATGGTCTCATCCGAAGGACCGGTCTTCACGTCCCACAGTGGGATTCGAACCTGCAATCTAAGGATCAACTCCTTACTTCGCGACTCTAGAGCAAACACTCTAACCACTGCGTCACACAAGCAACACTTTTTATTTTGAAAGCATCAATTAATTATTCTGTACATTGTTTTTCTATCATATACATGTACATAAACATACATGTATATGAATAAACAAACAAACATATATATATATATATATATATATATATATATATATATATATATATATATATATATATATATATATATATATATATATATATATATATATATATATATATATATATATATATATATATATATATAAAGTAGGAGTACTCTTTAAGAATCTTGGATAAACAGGTTTTTACAGTGTACGAGACATGCATTTTATGGACTGCACTACGAGAAAACTTTACTATGAACAAAAGTATGATTCAAAATCTCGATTTGGAATAAAAAATAGTAGAGTCGGTGGGTAAAATTAGGTCAGCTGGGTTATGGGAAATACATGTTGTTGTTTTTTTCAGCCTAAGTTTGTTCAATTTGAATTTAATAAAATCATAACTTTCTTTATCATGTGATGACACAAAATGAAATGAGATTGTTAACTTAGGTTAAATCATCATTGATCAACAAAGACTATTTCAATGTCTGTCAGCTTGCATTGAAACATCCAAGGATAAAGATTTCAAATGGCTTCTATATTAGACTTACTTACTTAGACTTTTAGTTCAAAAGTGACAAAATCATTCAAGTTGACCTAAGTACAATTCCAAGTGATATACATGTATATTAGTTATGTATCTTTTATAAATTAAGAAAGACACAAGCTATATTAGCTCAGGATCATGAATCCTTCTAATCTGATTTGCACAAAGGAAGTTATGATCATGCTATGTAAAAAGCCGTGAGATTAAAAATACATGTATATAGTTTGAACCAAATCTGCCTCATTCAAATTTTGTAAGTTAGAAACTGTCTTCTTGGGACAAGTATTCCTTGCCTACACATTGGTTTCTGTGCACAAGAACACCTTGCTTTCAACCTCAGATTCTTTGTCCATATCTTGGGTCTGTGGAGCCCGTACATCTTTTCTAAATTTCATATATGGGTTCCGTGCCTTAACTGTGTCTATATACACTATGTCTATTTCACCTCAAAATTTTGGAAGGACACTATATTGCGACTCGATTTGTTTTAAAATATGCACATTAAGCAAAATAAAAGTTGTGTATTTCATAGATTTCAACAATTGGAAATGATAATATTATTAAATTACAAACTTCAACTCAGCCTGAAAGTACAATTTTTTAACAAGTAGAATTTCTCTTAGCATGCTTACCAATAGACGTACTCAATATATATGGGGTATACAGTCCACCAATACATTTCCCATAGGCGACAATGTTAACCTTTTCTCACACTGTTTTAAATCCTTGCTTTACATTTAAGGACGGAACAACTCTCAAATAACATCTCAAGGTGGAATGTCAGATTGTTTTCCGGCCAAATGCACACATTCGCAAAAAATAAACATCTGAAAATGAAAGTAATTAAAACAATAAAAGTAGAGCATTAACATTTCCAAAATCTAGGGTGTGCACATATCAAACTATACAATTCCTTTCCTTTAAAGTCGCCCGTGTGGCGCAGTGGTTAGAGCGTCTGCTCTAGAGTCGCGGAGTAAGGAGTTGATTCTTACAGTCGCGGGTTCGAATCCCACTGTGGGACGTGGAGACCGGTCCTTCGGATGAGACCGTATAAACCGAGATCCCATGTCGCAGTAGGTGCTGGCACAAAAAAGATCCCTCACTGCTCAATGGCCATAAATGCCGAGTATAGGACAAAATTTGCAGCTCTCCACCGGCAAGTGGTGGCGTCTCCATATGAGTGAAAAATTCTCGAGAGGGACGTTAAACAACATACAAACAAAACAAACCTTTCCTTTAAAAGATATAATGTCGAAATCTTTCCAATGAACAGAGCCAAGGGAAAATTGAATGCACACTTTGGTGCTAATATGGTTGATTTAATGACCATTTTAAATTTTTTTTACTTCAGTGCAATTATCCTGATTATGGTGCATGGCACAAGCCTTCAGCATATGCCAGCGAGTATGTTAATCTTTCTGTACGTCGATGCAAGTTTTTTAAGCTTTGTACATGCTGTAGTGTGGCAAAGCCTTAATTTGAAGAGGTGTGGAGTAACCTTTACATCTTTTGTGTGTGTATGTGAATTTACAAGAGTCTCACTTAGCCTATCTTCTTTTACGTGTTGGTATCACAGCTGTATCACGTATCACGCTCACAAACACCACAGTGAAAGGTTTAAAATATATGCACAACCAAACCTTTGTGAAATATCTGCACTTGACTGATATCACATGCATGACTTAATAATTTTATACGTGACTCGAATGACCTCTGATTTGTTTATCATGTAAATATTTTGAACTTGTCATTTACACCTTTATATAACGTTTCTTACTCTATACTTACCATGAGGGGTATTAACATACTAAAATAAATCACAGAATGACATCGAAGGTATAATCCAATAAGTATTTCTATGTTATTAGGTTCACAATCAAGCAGCACGCCACAACAGTTACGATTAAGTAGTAATTCGTTCCGGTGATGACTCGGAATGAAATTTTACACAGAAAAAAAATGTTTATTACTTGAGTAAATTTGAGTAGAATAGGTTAATCAGACAATTTTTTTTACTAGAAATAAACATGGCAAATGGAGAGGGGGGAGGGGGGAGGCATTAACAATGTTCAAATAGATATTTCTATATATAGTCCCTGATTAGACTAAGTGTAAAATTTATGCAGTTCTTTATATATACGATGGACAATGTTTAGCAATTCATGCACCGATCCAGTCCAGTCCACTCATATTTTTTTATTTTTATTTTTTCATTTTTTATTTATTTATTATTATTATTATTTTTTTTTTGAGTTTTCAAATTGTAGTTTTTCTCGGGGGGGGGGGGGGGGGGGGATGGACAAGTTTGCGTTTTTTAAAATTTATCTATTTATTTTTTAAGTTTTGGGTAAATTTCTCAGTTGGATTTTTTTTTTTGGGGGGGGGGGCATGGACCCCCCCCCCCCCGGAAGAATTCCTGGATCATCTCCTTCTGAGGAAACAATAGTGAACATGAATCACTAACTCTAATGAATAAATAAGGTAAAGTCTTGGAAACCACATTTTACAATTACCGTAATCACACCTCATCAAGTCTAGAGACTGTAATTATTTCTCTTACACGGACAGGTAAGCAACTAATGAGTAAAGTTTTCAATCTGAATACATGTACAAAAACTTGCAGATTTTCATATTTTGATTAGTTTACCAGCTTTAAGGACACATACAAGAAGAACTGAGCATACTTTATTTTTGGATGAAAGAGAACTCTGGTCTTGTCTACATTAGCCGTAGTATTTTAAAAATGCATTTCCCCTTCCGATCAAAACAGTTTATCATACACGTACCTCCATTATAAAGATATCTAATCTTTCTAAATTCTTTTTATACAATACATGTGCAGGTGTTCCATTGTGACATACATCAGGGACATTGTATTAGAAAATATTTAAATGAATTTGTTCATTTGAAATTCTGTAAAATCAGTCGAGAAACATTTAAAATCGAAAAGTGTGATTCTTATATAGTGAGAACGTACTGTTAAATACTTTTGTAATCATACATATTTGAAGCAGTTTTTTTTAAATAAAGAATAAATTACAAATGAAGTGCATGTCTTGGACAAAGATAAATAAGATAAATAATTTCTAACTTCATAAAATAATTTATTTAACTTCTGAACTGAAGATGTGTTGATGGCAATATATGTGACTATAAAGGATAGAGATAATTTCAGTTCAGTTCATAACTAGAACAAAGAACCAGATACGTTTGATATATTACATGAAGTATAATTTTTTATATAAGTTGAACATAATTAATTGATACGAGTGCATGAAATAGAAACATGTCAACATTATGAATAATTCGAGAAAATTCGAACTTAGACTCGATGACGACTGCAAATTATGCTTAACAAATGGATTTGGCCATGTAGTGGATTTAAAGTTATATGGAAATATATTTAAATAATTCTTTAACCTTAAAGTTTTATTTTGTGGATTATAACTAAGGGATTTGAACATAAATTTTTCAAGGGTATATAAACAACGAAATCTAAATACTCTATGTTTATCGAGTGATTGATTAATATCTTTGTATATGGAAACGATGTGATGTTTTGTAATTAACGCTTTAATTCACGGTAAAATCAACAGAAAATTAACTTACCTGATGAGATCATTTGTTGCTTTGTAGAAAAATCGAGATCATTACATACCGGAAGTCGGCCATAGTATTAGTCTGCATTGCGCATGCGCTAGAATCAAAACCGAGTAAAGTGTGTAAGGGCCATTTTTTGATCATAAGTCGGTGTGTGAAAATACGGGTGTAAACCGTCAAATGACACCAACTTTTTTTCTCGATTTTTTGGGCATAAATAATCGAGAACTACCCATTTTTCGTAAAACGGCAACTCACTACAGTGATTACTGTAGTGACTTGGAAAACTGTAGTGAGTTGATTGATGTGTCAATAAGTACCTGAGCTGAGTTGAAGGTGTTTACAAACGCACACACACACACACACACACACACACACACACACACACACATATATATATATATATATATATATATATATATATATATATATATATATATATATATATATATATATATATATATATATATATATATATATATATGACATATGGCTTTAGGAGACCAAGGGGGATATATTTTCTGGCTTAGGGAGACCACTGGATTAAGGCGACCTTTTTCGGTCTCCCTATTATTTTGACCTCATCAGTATTGCAAATGTCTTTTTATAGATAAATAAACAGTCTGCCATTAAATATTATTAATCTTTAACTCTGTTATTTAACATTCAAAAGTTGTCTAATTTCTATCATCTTCCCTAAAAAAGAAAAGAATTTATAACCTACGTATAATTTCAAAGGATAATTTTTCTGCATTTTGGAGACCATGAAAAACATGCAATTAAACAAAAAATCTAGCATATATATTTTTTCCGCTTTTGATTTGTTCAAATGAGTGTTTCTTTAACTTAGTTTTCCATGTTTTATGTTAAAAACCTAAAAAGGAAAAATATTGTAAATTTATGAACCATGTTTTGAATTCTTAGCAAGTGCTTTCCGTCATTTGTTCCGAATGCCATCGGAATGCCCCTTCAGTTTTCAAAAAATGACCTCTGAACACCATGGATGTTGAGAAATTTGGGTAAGTAACTAAAATGATACAGTAATAAGTTGTAATTAAGAATACGCAAGACAAACATTCGTTGTTGGTGTTTTTTTTTTTTTTTTTGCCTTTTAATTTAGCTTTCAAGAGAAAAAGTATGATTTTAAATAATCGTTAGACTATAGTTCGGTATATAAAATCCTGAAGGAAATTCGAAATAAAGTTAAATGATAGGCCCCTATATTTTTTAATTCTTTTATGCAAGTCCACAAACAAATTAAATATTTAAAAATTAGGCCGAACGTAGAAAAAAAAATAGTCTCGCAAGTTGACGCAGCTATTTCGAGCTTAAAATTTAAATTAAACTTTCTGTAAACATCATGCAGGACATGATCATCATGATATAGTATAAATGAAACAGACCCTGTAAAAAAGAAAACAGCTGTAATTTAATAATTGTTTATTAATATAATGTGATCCTCTGCTAATAGAATATATATATGCTGTAAAAAAAAAATCTGAATCAGGGTGAAGCAGATTTGATACAATACATGGCTGAAGGAACGGGGGGGGGGGGGGCACGCCCCCTGTATTTTTGCTGAAATTTAGGTATACTATAGAAAACATTGCTCCTTTATGCTTGGGCCCCCTCAATAATAACCTCTGATGATCTATTTTTCTTTTGCTTTTGGGCCCCCTCAATAATAACCTCTGATAATGTATTTTTCTTTTGCTTATTAAAAAATTTTTGGTTTGTAGCCTCCCCCAACCTGAAACTGAAAAATGTTGTTTGGTTGTGCTCACCCCCCCCCCCCCCAAACCCCCTCCAACTAAATTACGTACGGGCCTATTCTCCATCCCTGAGGTTTTCTTTCACCAAAGAATGATTAATTGGTAACAGTTCAGATATATATATAGCAATATTTACGGAAGGGAATATTCTCGTTTAATTATGAAGATGTGACAGTAACTCAGTCAAAGCCACAGTGAGTGTAACATTTATTTAATATTATTGTTAATGTTTACAAATAGTGAACTACTGATACTCTGAATACTCTGAAATTTTAATGGATATATAGAAAATATACAAGTACAACCATTTATTGTAAATCACATACATGAAAAGCTTCTTTTTTTCAAGCAATTGGAAATTCTTCACTTTTTCATGAAATTATTTTATTTCGTATGTATGATAATTTATTTCGTATTTTAATTCAGTCAACAAATCACTGTTGCAGCCTAGTTCCCTTCATTATTTTCAGCAGTTCAGTGACAGAGATAAAATGATCATTTGAGGTTTATACCCCCCCCCCCCCCGTTCCCCACCAAATGAAACTGAAAAATGTTTGGTTTTGGTCCCCTTCAACTGAAATTGATTCCTACTTACCATGCTTACAGGCTTAGCTATGAAGATGTGACAGGGAGTGTAATAACAATAATTGTTCAGACGGATACATAAGCTGATATACGTATCAAATTTTAATGGATAGATCTAGATAGAAATTAATATACAATTACAACCATTTATTATAAACCACATAAAGATAATTTTTCAAGCAATTTGAAATTCTTCATTTTTTATGATAATATTTTATTTCGTATATGTTTATAGGTTGATTCGTATCAACAAATTTGTGTACGAGTTAATAACGCAGCCTGGTTCCCTGCATTTTCAGGTGGCAGAGGATAGTTTTTTTTAATGCCAAACATGTGCCGAGGGGGTACACATATACATGCCATCCATAAAAACATCTACATGGGGACAGTTTTCCAGGGGCTAATCAATTACACTTCATATGCCCATGGCTCACAAATTATGTCAACAAATTACATGTAATCTGCCTATTAGAGTGCACATGTACCAAAAATGCACCTGGGGACTCCCCAAATTTTGGCTTGTTTTTCCAAGATCTGGGCCTCATTCACACCCACACAACCCACCCCCAGGCCCGAGCGAGCAGGATAAAACACCCAGTAGTCTGTAAATCAATGCAAGCCCTAATAAAAATTCACCAATTGATATGGGGCCATTCACCTTCCCTCTGAGATACACACCTTCTTCTAAGGCCTACTGCTTTTTAGCTGAATTTCCTCAGATGCAACTGACCACGTGTCTTAGTTTCGCATTTACAACTCTGTATATGATAAGCGTCATAGTGACACCTACATGTTGCACATCATTTTTTTCAGCAAGCACTCTGCTGCACTGCAAATGTGTCCCATAATTATTCTAATCATTTTTCTACATAAAATATCACATCAAACAGGGGATATCTCAATTTTTTAAGA